ATGTGGCGTGGGAAATGAACCTTAGCGAGATATATATTTGTAAAATTGTCCGATCAGCTGTTGGGTTTGTTTACATTGGCCGGCCCGAGATTTTCCCGCGCCGGGGAGACTGGCTCGGGGGCAGTTGCTGGTTAGTGTATTGATGGCGATGTACAGTACGCTCAGTATATTGTTGTTTATAAGTATTGTTGATGGCACTTTAATGTTGCTGGTCTAGTGTGTTAATTGACGCTGTACACCAGGTCAAGTATACCCAATTAGGGATCATATTCAACGTATGATTCTCTTACAGTATATAAACCCAGATTTATCCCCGATATACAATAATGTTTTATCGTGATTCTACCAAAATTAAACCAAAATTAACCTTTCTAGGATCATAATACTACTTGTACTTTTCTTACGGACATTACCAAGGGAAAGTTTAGGGATGTACTATACAGGCTCAGGTGCAGTAAAGGAGCGTGAAACTTTACTTTAACAAATATATAGTTACGATAATTCAAAGCAATTAACAAGATTATCTAAAACATTACAGAGATTTTACCTAACCTAACCTAACCTAACCTAACCTAACCTAACCTATACCCTAGGGAGCATTTGGGTAATTAATCATCAGGTGTAATCTGGGGGGCTATTATTCAGGTGATCCAGAAATTGTCTTCGTGATGTTATTTGGCATATCTCGTGCGCCTAAGCTTACTGTATCACGTCGATCAATACTTCTCCCCCGAAAGAAAACTATTGTGACTGGAGCAGGGAACATAACAGGAACCTATACTAATTCCTTGACAGACCAACAAGTAGAACATTACTGTAAATGAACATATGCTGTATAACCCCAATGGAAAATAACTTCCAATGTTTTTTTGCCAAATCTACTTACTGTTTACCACTGTATACTTGCAAAGTCTATGTACAAATGCCGAACCTGGACGATTTTACTGAACACACACACACACACACACACACACATATATATATATATATATATATATATATATATATATATATATATATATATATATATATATATATATATATATATATATATATATATATATATATATGCAAATAAATCACTGTAGGTGCACGTGATCCGTGTATATGCTGATAACCACATAGGAAACAAGAAAACACGAAGTTCCAAGAGCTTTCATGTAATTTACATTTTCAAGGGTGATTACAGGCTTAGGAATAATTATTGACAAGGCTAATGTATACAGTAAAGGAGAGTGAGATCAAGTCCCTAGGGACAGCAGATCTTCACCATACCCTTTCACCTGGTCATAAATCTTGTTAATCACAAAATTGTCCAGCTTGTACATGTCATTACTCAAATTCATGTTGACAGATTCAGTATGTTTAATGAGATTGAATTCTATAATGTTCCTACTGACAATTGAATTACAAGGTAATATTGAGGAGGCATTATCCCAGTCATTGCAATGCTTATTATCTCTTAAATGAATGAACAGAGCATTGGATTCTTCTCCTGTCCTAACACTATATTTATGTTGTTTAAGTCTAGCTATAAGATCTTTTCCCGTCTGACGTAAGTAGAACATATTACATTCTTTGCAAGGAACCTTGTAAATGCAGCCACCTGCATTGCTGGGGGAGTTCTTAATTAACTTTTGTTTACCAGTTCATGAGTTATTAAATGTTACATTTACGTTCCAGGTTTTCAGTTATAGATGAATTTGAGATATTTTCTTTGTTAAAAGGTAATACTAAGAGATTCTTACTGTCATCGGGAGGTTTGGGATCAGTTCTATAAAAAAAATTCTTAGAGATGTTAAGGCATTTGTCTATAAAAGAACTAGGGTATTTTAAGTTCCCTAGGGACTTGATATCACTCTCCTTTACTGTATACATTAGCCTTGTCAATAATAACTCCTTAGTCTGTACTCATCAGTCCATATAATACGCAAACTTATATATATATATATATATATATATATATATATATATATATATATATATATATATATATATATATATATATATATATATATATATATATGTGTGTGTGTGTGTGTGTGTGTGTGTGTGTGTGTGTGTGTGTGTGAGTGTGTGTGTGTGTGTACTGCCCATGTATATATCCACAGGGGAGAAGTTGTGAATGGGGGAACATGGCGAGCAAAGCGAGGTCACCCAGCTGGGGGGTTTGGGGGGTGGGGGAGGGCGCTGTAAGGCCCCCTGAGAAATTTTGTTGAAATCTGACCAATATCATGGTCATTTTGTGGCCATTTTGAAGCCATGTGCACTTTATATTGGGAGATATTCTGAGGTCAATTGTAATGACTTTCTACTATGCAAAAATGCCTGAGTACAATACTGCATTAAAGAAAAGTATTGGAATTATCTGATGAAAAGGGAGGGTCCGGACCCCCAGGACCCTCCCCCTAGATCCGTTCCTGATCCATGGTAAAGTTAATGAAAGAACCACTTTAATAATTATTATCGTCTCCCCTCCAACAAGATTCTCGTCGAAAATGGTCATCTTATCTATTAAAGAAAACGAAATAATATCAGGAGAACTAAAATAAAATATACTGCTCCTATATAATCAACGGTGACCTTCATATTGGAAGTCTTACGAGTATAATACAAAGAATGAATTTAAATATATTTGATAACGGATAATATTTGCAGTCGATGACAGTAAAAGAAACATATAGAACACACTATACAGCTCCTCGACAAAGTAACTAGATACGGTTCCCGAGGTGTTTTATGCTCTCTGCAGTCCTTGTGATGATAGTTTCTTGTGTAAATGCTTCTCTTCCTTCAATATTATCATCAAACAACATAGACATAACTTTGAAGAACAGGGGAAATATGGGGTTGGATTGGTAAAACACAGCATTTTACCTTATTTACATAATATTTAAGGTTAATGTACAGGTGACTACAAATGATCTTCCTTTTTTCAAATATTTATTATAAATAAAATAACAATGGTAGAGCAAACAAATAACACACGCAATTACAAAGTAATGTATATTTTTGTTTTAAAATCTATGATATTTCATTCAATATGTGAATCTTTTGTAGCTCTGCAAACATTGAAACGATGTTCTGTTTCTCTCCATACATTTTCCAGCACATCGACGTTAACTTTAAGAACAGCGTATTGGATCCTGTTTTTCTACTGCTCCAAAGATGTTAGCCTTGGTGAAACAACCACTTCACATTTAACATAATCCCAGAGGAAAAAGTCAATGGGAGTGAGGTAGGTGAACGAAGCGGACAATTAATGGGCCCCCCGCGCCCCATCCAACGGTTAGGTAATTGTTTATTCAGATACGTTTTCACTACACTGTTGAAATATCATATATATAGAAAAAAAAAAATAAACATTGCTTTGTAATTGTGTATGTTACTTTTTGCCCTACCATTGATATTTTCTTTATAATAAATATTTTAAATCAGGAAGATCATTTGCAGTCACCCTGTATTTCTTGCACATGACATGATATAACCTAACCTAACCTAACCTAACCTGATCAAATCTAACCCATCAGGAATTTCTTGTGCTCTTTCCTCCGCATCACTGTGATTTAGACTTGTGTTTTGAAAGGTTTGATTCTGACTCATTGTTAAGTTCTTAACCTGTCTCGTAGTATGGAACTGTTTTTCTCATTTTCTACTGTGATCCTGAGGGGGCGCGTGGCTTGTTTCTCGGTTTCTTCCTTAACTTATCCACTTTGTTTGCGACAACTATCATTTTCAGACCTTCTGCACAAATGTTCTACATACTCATCTTGTCATGTGTCTTCCTATGTCTGATTGACTCTCTGGGATTCAATACACGATGATATTGTCCCAACGCTCGAGACGATCTTAAGCTGTTTCTCTCCCATATCAACATCGGCAGTGGTCTTGAGGCTCCTGACTGTTACATCCTATTCGCCACTTATCAGCCGCTTGGGTGGTCTATCCAGTGTAATACAGGAGGAAACCGGGGACCGGGAAACCTGTGGTGTTTTGGTAGTGTCACACTGGATAACACCCTTCTCACGTGTGTCCGGGCCGAGGCTCGAACACTTGACATATTGGTGTGAGTTAAGCGCGTTACCGCTGTACCACCAATAGCAGTTACATCAGTTTTTTCTCATCCTTCAGCTGTTTTCTGTGTCCCTGCCATAACCTCAGCGTAGCTTCTCTTGAATAAATTATGTCATCCCAACTGTTTCCTCAGACTTGTGAAGGATTTTTTTTTTAACTTGCTTTTATTTATTAACCCCCAAGACTCAGCTTGCACTACTTACAACTTCATTTTCTTTTCTTTATACTCTACCAGAGCCTCGTCGACGTCGGTATCACAGTCAGGACAATACCAGTGATATAATTTAAATTTTGATCAGTCCACCAGAGTTTTATATGCATCAGCCTCAGCAGTTCCACATCCATAGCAATTTTTTTTCTCAGAGCCACTTCATACCCTGGAGGTCCTTGCAAGCACTCCTACACCCACAAACACTACACTCACGCATTATTGATGTCATATGTGCTGGGCATATTTTAATATGCTATATACGTGGTGTAGACAATTAGTACGAGAGGGCACTAGTGATGAACTTAATGGGGGTTGTTGGGAGGTTATGATGGTGGTGCCGTTAACGGGGTACTGGGGGTATTATTATGAGGGTGTAATTATTGAACTACAGGTACACCTTTCTTCTCGGTCTACAGTCTACGGGAGGACGAGAGTTAGGGAGGTTACACACACACACACACACACACATACACAACTACTGATAATTATATAGTGTGAGGGGAGACACTTGTATAAACACATCCCCGTCTGTTTTAAATTGTATGTCAAGTAGATGATGCAACAAAGCTGGTAATGCATTACATTATGATTATGGAACTGGAAGATGATCGCCAAAAAAATAATCATGACAAAAATAGAAGTAAAGAGAGAGAGAGAGAGAGAACGGATGGATGACCTTGAGTGCTCATTGTGCCTTTGGTGGCTCCGTCACCCTCAGCATACACACACGCAGTCGTAGCCGCCACTCTGGCCCGAGAAGCCGCTCCTAGCACCTGCCTGTCTACCGCCACCATAGATGAACACCACTTACAAGGTCCTTAAACCATGTATAGTGAAGGACTCTTCATGTTAACTGTGAGACGTAGTGATGTGTTTGAGTGCGGCTCAGTGGCGGTGGTGTTGGTGTTGAGGGAGGGTGTGTATGTGACGTAAACCAGTGGTAGGACACGTGATACAGTGAGTGGAGCGCGGTGCAGTGTGTCTCAGTCTCTTGTAGTCTACCTTTTCTGTCTACGGTAAGACTATAGAGTTAATAACGTGTAAAGTGTTGTGTCTTTTATAAACGTTCTTGTGTCATAAACCTTCATGCTGGTGGTGTTCACTCCTTCATGTTGTGTACCATGTGTACAGTGAGTGAGTCGCATGAACTTCTCTCTGTGGTTCTCTGACACACACACAAAACACACACTTACACAGTACACATACATACACACACACACACACACGCATACATACATACACCCACACACATACATACACACGCACACATACACACACACAAGATGTAACAAGACAATAAATACAATTTTGATTCGCCTCAGGTAAGACAAATCCAGGTAGTCATGATAACCCAGAGGGCAGGGGGAGGTGGGTGGAGGTGATAAGTGATAACAGTAAGATATCAGACTGGATAATTATCTTTATATGAGCCGTCTGTTGGAGCTGACGGAAATTACAACACAAGGTCGTACACCAGTACTGTTGTTTCCCTTTTCCCGTGTGATTTTATCAAGATTTATCTATCCACGTTTTCATTGTGGATCTACATGAAATATATATATATATATATATATATATATATATATATATATATATATATATATATATATTTCTTTAACAAACTACCAATATTTCTTTCTTTCAGATCCCAAAAGGAAAGAGTCACTGCAGCCAGGGAGACATATCCTACTGTCTAGGTCTTCTCGATACAACCAAATCACCAGGATGACTCACATACCTCCCGTCATCCCCTTTGTTGACCACGAAGGATTTCCAAAAGTCGTCGACGCTGAGAAAGTGACTTTAGGTTATCCTCAGAAGGACAGTGAGAGTGGTGAGCTGGTGAGAGATAAGGTGGTCATCCTCAGAAGACCTCGACACCCTGCGTTGTTTCACACTCACTCCCTCACCACCAGGAATACCATACCGAGCTCTTTCATGCTGATGAAAGAGCAAAAAAAGTTTGGAGGTTTCAGGATACAGGATTTTACCCGGGGTCCTGCCAAGTTTAAGCTGCGTCAGGGTAGTATGAGGTACCAGCGGAAGCCTGTGGGGCCCACCTTTCAGACGCGCGTTTGCATGGAGCGGGGCGTGCCTGTGAGTTACACCACCACACGCACCCCCCACACGGATCTCATATCCCCTGAGGAAGTCCCTGGAGTAAGAAGAATATTTCGAGTACCTTGTGAAAGTCTTCCCTCAGACCAAAGTGAAAAACCCTTGAGAAACCCCAAAGTTATTTGTGTGAGTATCTGGGAAGAATTTCTGTACGGAACGTCTGTGTTGGATGTTATGACGGGTCATGGGGGGGAGGAGCCTGACGGGCCTATTGGAGTCTTGCGCGCGCATCTCAAACGATATTTATCGGCAACAGTGATAGACATGTTGGTGCTCTCTGTTTACTTTACTCTATATTTTCTGTCGTGTTTAGCATACAATGATTTCTGGGAACTTGGGTTGTATATGTTATTAGCTAATCACTTACAAATTCACGAGAAAGCATATAAGAGAAAAATGCGGATCGATTTCACCGGCAGCGCCTTCCAAGGACCAGCTTATGTGTGTGTGAGGACTTGGTGTCAACACTGTATCGAGAAAGACAGAGAAAAGGTGATGTTCGGGTTAATGAAGAAAATGAAGGCAGACATAAGAGGTACTAGTGAGTGTTAGCTGCTGTGAATCAGTGTTGTGACGCAACAGTATTATGTAAGTTACGTGTTGTTCTCTGTGTTCTGTTCAGTGCAAAAGAAAGAAGACAAAATATACTTTTTGCAGATCAATTTAAAATATAGATCTTTTATATGAACCTAAAACTACCACATAAAACAATAAACGAAATAACTTGATATTAAAAGTTTTGATGGTATCCTGCTTTTGCTTGTTCTTGACGGCCTCACTAACTCAACGAGTGTCAATGTTTTGTTTTAATACTGTACATATTGATGTATTTTAAGAAACGTCTTCCTGCCTTCTTCACCTCCACGTTATTTGGAATCTTCCCCAATATAAAACACCTTTTATCCCAACCATCAACATTAATTTTCCTTACATAGTTTTGAATCCAAGTGACTGCCTAGTAAACACAATAACGTTAGAAAGAAGGAAGCTGCAGTAGGCTTATTGACCCGTACTAGGCAGCCCTGTTAACACCCAACCCTTATCACTAATATATTGTCCAACCTACAGTATATTTGAAGCTTCCTTGCGATATCGAGTTAATAATGGTATTTGGTAACTTGTTCCACTCATCCACATTTCCAAACCACTGTTACCCAATTCACACCTAAATCAAAATTTGTCAAATTTAAAACCAATGTTACGTGTTCGCTTCAGATTTGATAATACATTAGTTATATTAAATTAATTTAGCCCCATCTTCCATTTATACACTTGGATCATATCGCCCCTCACTCTACGTCTCCCAAGAGAATGTAAGTTAAAATTTCTAAATCTGTCTCCATACTGAAGGTTCCTAATGACCGGGATTAAGTTTGTCATCCTTTTCTGAATGTTTTCTCGGGAATCAATAACCATTCTATTGTACGGTGACCAAAACTGAACCTTATAATCCAAGTGTGTCTCACAGATACAGTAACATCGCCTGTCCTGTCACTAACAGATGTACCCTCGTACTTTGTTAGCCTTATTTAGTATATAAACACATTGCTCACTAGGTTTTAGGTTCCAGTTCATTATTGCCCATAAATCTTTATCACAATCGGATTTCTTTATATTTACTTTGTTCAAGAGATAGCTGGTTCCTCTATTTACATTCCCTAGCGTTAGAAGTTTACATTTTTCCCGCAATATATTGCATCAGCCACTTTTCAATCCATACGATAAGTTTGTTTTGGTCGTCCTGTAATTTTTCAGTCCTCAACAGAGTTAGTGACACGCTCTATTTTTTGTGTTGTCATCAAATTTACTGTGTTGCTGTTAATGCCTATATCTATGTCGTTAATGTTTACATAAATAGCAACAGTTCAAGTGCTGAGCCTTCGGGTACTCCACTATATAGTAACATTAACCCAGTCGGATTTTGTACCGTTAATAATAACTTTGTATTCCACTTTACCGAAGGACTCGGTTTAAGGCTTTGCTGGAGTCGAGCATACTACATAATCGTGTCCATCGTCCAGATTCGAGAATATACCAGCTCGCGAGAATATAAACATTAAACAAAAGAGCATCGAGTAAAAAATCAGAAAAGCTGATTATTATTATTATAAATTATTAATTATTATTATTATTATTATTATTATTATTATTATTATTATTATTATTATAAATTATTAATTATTATTTTTATTATTATTATTATTATTATTATTATTATTATTATTATTATTATTATTATTATTATTATTATTATTATTATTATTATTATTACAGTAGTTTTAGTTGTTATTCACTAGAATTTTGAGACAACAGCTATAATATTTTAGAATTTATTTATTTTTGTTAGTCAGTTTTCCCTGTGGTCCTCAATAACGACGGCGATGCTGAAGGTGTCGGGGCATTGGGGCGTTCCACCACCACAGCCCAGTCCAGCCTTTTGGACGGTACTCAAGCTGTTGCTCAATAGGTGAGCGAGGCATCTCAACCACTTTAGCAGGCTGGCGGGGCTCTGGGCGAGGTACAGTATGTTGACCGCCCAGTAGCCATGATTTTCACGTTACTCGCGCCTAATGTGTGTAAACAAACCGAGCCACGGGTACCAACCCTACCGTGTTGCTAGAACCTGAAAGCGTAGATTTTGTTATGGTTTAAGCATAGCAAAAGTCTTGGGACCCATTCGTTGTCAAAAGATTTTATGATTCGCGAATGTAACACTTTTTAGCATATGACCGTAATACGAGAATATAATGAACAAAAGAACGTCGACTAACACAAAAATCAGGGAAGTAAAAGTGTAAAGACAAATACGATAACGATATAAAAAAGAGCATCGAGGCTCAATATAATCAGTATCACCTAATTTAGAGATAAGATGGACGTTTTACCTAATGTAATCTTTTCTGAACATGATAAGAACACTGCCACTCTTGATATGATAGTAAGAAAAAACGGAGAAAATATTGACCGTGGAAGAAAACCAATTAAAGCGTACAGTATGTGTCTTTCTATCTATCTGCCTGTCTGTTTAACTATCTATCTATGTGTCTGTCTATTTATCTGTTTCTACGTTTGTCTGTCTACTCATCTATTCCATCTATGTGTCAGACTATGTATCTGTTTGTGTGTGTGTATCTTTCTGTCTATTCGCATATTTATCTACGCGTCTGTCTATCTAATTATCAACTTGTCTGTCTGTCTGTGTCTGTCTCTCTGCTTGTATGTCGAACTGTTTATCTGCCTGTGTGTCTGTATATCTACCTGTCTGTCTGCTTATATCTACCTGTCTGTCTGCCTGTCTACTCATATCTACATTTGTGTCTATCTGTCAGCTCTCTATCTATCAGTGTGTCTGTCTATTCAGCTGTCTGTTGTGGTGCTGGCAGGATGAGGTGGTTGTGTGACCCTTCAGTACCAGCTGTGTTGCAATGTCCTTATCGAGTCTTTCTGTTTGTCTGTCTCTCTCTTCCTCTTTTTCTCACTCTCTGTGTGCCTCTCCCTATTTTTCTTAGTCTCTCTTTCTATGTTGCTGCCTCTCTCTATTTCTCTTACTCTCTCTTACTCCCTCTTTCTCTCCATTTCTCTTAATCTCTCTCTCACTCCCTCAAACTATGCATCCCTCACTCTTCCTGTATTTTATACTATCTTTCACTCTTTGCTTCTCTCACTCATATTTCTCTTTTTATCTCTTCGTTATATTTATTTATGTTTTTTCTTTAACTCTCGCTGCTTATCTCTCCTTCTTATTTGCAATCTGTCTCTCCCTATTCACTCTGTTGTCTTTTTTTTCCCGCCTCCACTTCCTTCTACTACTACTACTATTTTTTTAAGTGGTCTCCAGCCTCCCCCAATAGCCACACCTTCGCCGCCCTTTTATCGCCTTAAAATTATATATCCTAATACATAATTAGCTACCCTGGCTGTGTAGAGTTAGTTAAGCCGCATATCTATGCGGCATTCAGTGACTGTTGCCTCAAAATCAACATCTGTGACCGTTGTCGGCTTTGGGACCGAAGATCTCGTTCCCCTGAGGCAAAGCAATGCAGACCTAAGCAGCGAGAAGGACAGTCGATATCTCAACCAGGCTGTAAGGTAATTTCTGTGCTGCTGCTTCTGTTCGGATAACATCTTGGCCAATCTTGCATAGAAACATCTTGCACTTGGTCCCATCCCGCTAGAGGTTGTGAACACCAGAGGAGTGTAGCTGTCGTGATCAACATTGTAAATTCACGTTCCTCTTGTGTGCAGCATCTAGAGCTAGGTTGCGGTGACATGCGGCCATGAGGTCGAAAATCCTTATGTCAAAGAAGGCTCGCTGTCCTCGCGTCCAGAATCCTCGAGCACTGACGTCCACACAGGCTTCGTTGGATGTGTTTGAAGTCCTGTGATGGAGATTCTCACCGTCCAATGGAAAGAGGGTCGGTTCCACCGTGACATCATGGCAGATTTCCTTTAGAGAATATGCTGTTAGATCCCTTACTTCGTCAAGCCTCATGCATACGAAGCCCCCTTTCTTACACACCATGGCGTGGTCAATGTTGTAGGAAGAGCCACACACGCATTGGGAGGGCAAACCTTCTACTGGCCTACCGTACCTTAAAGTAATGGCACCTGTGAATTCTTGTTTATTAAGGATAAAGACTTTTGCTCTTATCGGTAACGTTGTTAACCAGTTTGAGGCGCCCACCTCTTGTGCTATAGCTACTTTTTTTTTTTAAAGTTCTCTGGCAATTGGGGCAACAGTTGAGCAGCAATTGCAACAATTGTTGCAGTTTATCACTTTGGGTGTGCTGCCGTTCTGTCGTAATAGAGTGGTAAATTAGCCCTAGTTGCCAATAAATATTTCTATCTCTCATAATTTTTTATTGTTGATGGACAATTACTAAATTTGTCTAGTGCCTGGATCACGCAGACTAGTAGCCTTGCATGTGGGACTTCACCAAACACCTTAGCAAAAATCAACTGGTAAATTTGGCCCACAAAGTCTATTACCGTTTCGAGGAATGTAAGTAAGTTTGTCAGGCAGTATTTTGTGTCCGTGAAACCGTGTTGTGATGTACTGATAAAACACAGCTCGGCCAATGTTGATCCCTGATGTAATTTAGAAATCTCGACACCTTAATTCACATTCATCTCTGTAATTTTACTGTATGTTTGAATTAATAAAATAGAAGATGAAAATATAAGTGATATTAATATTCATGTTTCTTATTCGATATGCTGACCAGGGACGAAGAGGATAAGTAAGTACTGTACAGTATTACGTATTTTAAATTTATTCTTAAGGGTCCCGTGTAAAACTTCGGCAGAGAAATAAGAGAAAACGCACTTTGTATTGGGATAACATCTCTATTCTCTTTCCTCCTGCAAATTTTATATTTTAGGAAATGTAATAAACAGGAACCTAAAAATGAGCAGCAATAAGATATGGTAATGTCATTGAAAAGAACTTAAATGTTCTTCACAATGATCAGACTTAATTTAGTCCTATTGATTTTTAGGTTCCCGTTTATTGCACGTTCTATAATACAGTTATCATTTAGGTTTCTCGAATAAGAAAATTGACCCTTTAGTTTCGTGATGTAAAGTAAGCCTGGAATATTTACGCCCAGAAAGACCAGATTCCATAGACATTTAATTTTTTTTATTTCAATGAGTTATAAAAATCTCAGTTGAAGATATATCTCGGCAGATAATTTAATTACCAGTAGGGGCGGATCCAGGAGTATCAACAGGGGATGGGGGAACATGGCGAGCACACCGAGCCCACCCAGCAGGGGGGTTTAGGGGGCGCTGTAAGCCCCCCAGAATTTTTTCTGGAATCTGACCAATATCAAGGGCATTTTGAGGCCATTTTGAAG